TTACCCCAGATTAATAAAGTGACTAAGCTGATGTAAAATGAATGAATGAATGAATTTAAATTGTCTTATATATTATTATTTACCGTAATCATGTTTTATTTTCTAATGCATTTTATTTTGTTACTTTTTAAAGTGAGGGTCACAAAAGTGCAGGTCCTCCTTAAATGCGCCTATACTGAAATGAATTGTGTAAAGTCTACATGAACGAAATTAGCACACTAAGGGCCCTATCATACACCCGGCGCAGTGTGGCGCAAGGCGCAGCGCAATAGTCTTTTGGTAGGCGTTGCGCTACGCTGTTTAAATAGCAAATGCATTAGCGCTCATTTGTGCGCCCATAGGCGTTCTGGTCTAAAAAGGAAGGCGTTCTGAGGCGGACCGCTGGCGGACCGCTGGCGCATTGCTATTTTGAGAAACTATAATAGATTTTTCATTAGACCAAAACTAACCCAGTCTAAACTCCGGCGCAGAGTTGCGCCTCGCTTACGCACGGCTTAATACGCACAAGAGAGCAATAGGCAAATATCTTTACATATGAAAAAATTTAAATATTAAGGATATATATAGGATATAATAAGAATAGATATATAATATAAATATAAAGGATTAAAATATTACAAAACATATTATTTTCTAGCCTACATAAATATGAAAAATCACTGCTTTTATATCTTCTTCATCTCGGGAGGCTTTTTCAGTTTATTCATAACAATTTGCTTTTGTATGATGTTATTATTATTAGCAGTATTATTTATTATATCCATATTTATATTTGTTTTATTAAAAACAAGCTTAGATTTGTCCACCTGTCAGGTTTTAGACCATATGGGGCACAGCATGTGTTTTAGGATATAACTCATCACTATTTGTTGTTATTATTCATTTATTCGTTTGCTAGAAATTAGAACTGAATTTAGAAATAGTTTTGAAACGAATATTTGCGCTTAACAAACACAATTATGTATTTATAGACTATTCGATGTCTGTGCGTTAAGGTTTCCCTATCCAAGAGCAAATGTGAAAGTAGTTCCATTATCTCTCATTCTCACGCAGTAGATGCTCTGTTTAACAGTTTTCTGTTAAAAAAACTGTTAACTGTTTGCTTATGAAATGCTCATTTTTTCCACTTAGACTTACTTTGCGTCCTGTAAATAGCAAATGCGCTCTTGGCGCGACGCAGCTGACTCTTAAAGGGAATGGGAGATGAGACTCTAATTGGTTTATTCTCAAAACACACCTATAACTCATTAAGAAAATAAACTCAACCCTTTTAGACCATGCGCCGCGGCGCAAGGCAGATTTCCCGTCCTTAAATTAGCAAAAACGCGTCCTGACATGCCCTGAAAGCGTTTGCGCCCTGCGTTTTGCGCTCTGCGCATGGACCGTCAAAAAGAGCCCTAAGTCTTTAAATGTGTGTGGTGCATTTTTACAAGCTTTTGCCTTTTAATGAGGACAGCTAATCTGTCAGAGCAACAAAACAACAAATAACCTGTTTTGCAACCTTTTCCAAGTCTCAAAGCTGTTGTGTTGTCGGTAATTTCAGTACTTGGCTCTGAAATTTTACCTGAATAGATGAACACATTTGTCGTTAGCACATCTAATTAACCCCCAGCACTGTTTTCTGCACTGCTATTGAATCTACAGGTGAAAACAAGAGACATGATATTTCACCAGAGTAAATAAGCTGAGGGTTAAATGAGATGCATGGAAGGAAAAATACCGGCTGTCATAAACAATAATACAACAATGTGTCAACGCAATGTTAAGTTTCTTAAAGTCTGCATGAACCGGAAGCTGAACCATTTTTTTGTATTGTGACGCAGTTCCTAGAGAAACTGAATATTGAATGAGAAATTAGTGGGTGTGGCTAAATAAATAAACAAACAAATGGTTGTAATAAAAATGTATGTTCTGAAATGTACATTTAATCACTAAATTATAGTGTAGTTTTAAATATTAGTTCCTGAAATACAAGCACATACACACAGTAATGTGTTTTCAGTTTCTTGTAATTACGGCGACTTATATTTCCAGCTACAGCCTCTAATCCATTTTTCAATTACCTTCCAGAGAATGACATTCATTTTATTATCTCTGTTGTACTAGACTAAGAGGATTTTTCTGAAAGGTAGGACAAACACATTACTTTTTTTTTCCTCCGTGCCCCATTTTCTCCTCCACCTGGTGTTTGACGGAGTACCAATGCGGCATGTGTTTTTTGATAATGCTCCGTCTCTTTCATCTTCCCGCATGTTGTCTCTGAAAGTAACCTGAACGCGTGCTTCATTCGTGGCCCGTGTGGGTTCAGCGAGTACCGTATGCTGATTTCGTATGCACCGCGTTCACTCAGAAACTGGATGGGGGTTTTTGAAGAGAGGGCAAGTCCTTTGCATTTAAACCTGGCTGATTGACAGTTCATTCCTTCACCCGGTTCCACTGCCTGCGTTTCCTCTGTGCTCTGATCCTGTCAATTGAACTGTCACGCACTGAAATCCACACACACACGCATGCAAACACGCACACACCTTTAATTAAACATGTCCTATTGCACCAGCAGCTCTGAGGTGGATTCAGTATTCATTAACCACCACCTGTAACTAGGGCTGGGTATCGATTTAGATCAGTCTTGATTCATTTAGATTCTGATTTACAAGTTCTTGATTTGATTTGATACTAAATTCTTAGATTCAGTTAGTACACATTCAGTATAAATGCTACTGATATTTCTACAAATTTATCTTATATTTATCTATTTCTGATGCTTGGAGAAAGTAAACTAAATATGTAGGTTAATCTGTGAAAGAAACTGAACATTATTTACAACAGTATTCAGTACAGGATCATTGGAAATACTGTGCACACTCTAACAAAATGACTTGCTGCTCAAACTACTTATTTAAAATGAATTAAAGCGACACAATTCTTTATTATTGTAATTATTATTATTATTATCATTTTTTAACATGTGATTATTTTTTCAAGCTTTAACAAAACATTTTGTACAATCAAGGGTGTAATTTTTTCCCCCCCATTTTTGAACATTGCTGCCGGAATAAATTAGTTAACAAATAAAATTAAAATACAGTTACAACAGGAATAGATAAAAATATAGCAAAATGGAAAATAATAATAATAAAGCGACACAATTCTTAAAGTCTTTGGACACTGAAGTTCGAAATTTTCTATTCAATTCAATTCACCTTTATTTCTATAGTGTTTTTTTTTATGTAGATTTTGCCAAAGCAGCTTCACATAGAAGATTATAGTGATTTGAAACGGTGTCAGTTCAGTTTTCAGAGTTGAAGTTAAGATCAGTTTAGTTCAGTTCAGTGTGGTTTAATATTCACTCCTAAGAGTCCAAACACTAAAGAGCAAATCCATCAATGCACAGCTCTACAGGTCCTGAACCATGCAAGTCAGTGGCGACAGCGGCGAGGAAAAAACTTCACCAATTGGCGAAAGTGAAGGATAAAAAACCCTGATAAAAAGCCCAAGTGAACCCCGCTCGGGCACACCTCTTCCAACCGGGCCAGGGCCGGCCAAGTGAACCGTGCTTGACCCCGATTCAGCGCACTCACACTTCTCAAACAATTCGGGAAACGGGCCTGGGCACGGTACGGATGGCATAGTGTGAGTAGGCCCTAAGATATTTCAAATTAAGAGTTCTTAAGTGCTCTCTCATCAAACAGTAATGGTCCAAACGCATTTAATGTCTAAAAAAAATCCTCCAAACACACCATATATGCCTTCAGTGGTTCAATCAGAATAATATCAAACTATGAGAATACTTTTGTGTGCACATGAAACAAAAATAACAACGTTATTCAACAATTTCTTTCTGGATATCGTGCTTGGTCTCTTAGTGACGTGTACCTCGAATGTGCCCTTTTTTTTACAGGGTATACATAAAGTGTAGAGTGCTGTCATGAACATGAGCACTATACTGACACTGAGGAGAATAAACTGGTAAAAAAAAGTCATTGGTTTTGTTTTATGTGTATTCTCGTAGCTTTAGACCATGTGATCCAATCACCATATTATGAAGCTACGAGAATACACATAAAACAAAACTAGCTTCACGTAAATTCACGTAGCTTCATAATATGGTGATTGGATCACATGGTCTGTTTTGACAATGTTTTTTGGTACCTTTCTTGGCTTTGAACAAGTCAGGACCGTTGCTCTCTGGAGAATCAAAGAGCTCTCAGATTTCATCCAAAATATTTTAATTTGTCTTCTGAAGATACACTAAGATTTGGAAACCTTTTTAAGCTATATTAATTCTTACTTGCTTATTTTTAGGCGAACTAACCCTTTCGTTTTCTAAATAATGCTTGTTTTGTTGTAGTTAGTTTACTAATGATTTAGCTTAGTTTACTGCAAACTTTATTGTTGGAGGTTGATAATGATCCAATAAACAATAAAAGTTGTCAATTTGTTTTTGTCAATCTATGCAGTTGTAACCAAAGGGGAGTCGTGTGACAAATGGATGAGCATCCATGTGCAGTTTTATTAAGTGTTGTCAGGCAGGAAATGCTCAACTGGTACAAATGGTAGCATAAGGGTAATCCAGAAATGTAGTCATGTTACAGGCAAATGGTCGGTACTGGCAGCAAAACAACAGAAAACAATAAACAAGGCAAGGGTCAAGGAACTGGGAAAGACTAGACTATGAAACACTTTGTGGTGTTACAATAACAAGACTCAGCCAAGTATGTGCGAATGTGAGCTGTTTAAATAGCATATGTAATCTTTGATCAGTTACCAGCTGTGTGTGTGTGTAATCATCGGAGATCCGGAACAGGTGTGTTTCGGAACATGATGGGATTTGTAGTTTATAAAGTGACAGAATTGTAGTCCAGGTGATTGTGCACGTTTACTAGCAATCGGCAAGCCTAGATCGCTGGTGATCGTGACAGAAGTACATTTTCTCTTTGGATTTTTGTGTGGATGTATGTGTGATCTGGACCTGGATCTGACCGGTGTGTTTGCATTTGCAGGGAACTTGTCCTCACACTGGCTCTCGGTCAGGTCTTATCGCTGCTCATCTGTGGGATTGGCCTGACCAGCAAATACCTGGCGGACGATTATCACGCAAACACCCCTGTGTTTCAGAGCTTTCTCAACTACATCCTGCTGTTCCTGGTCTACACCACCACTCTGGCAGTCAGGCAAGGTAAGAGCCGCTCCTCCCACAACTCACTGCAGTTTAATGAAAACACTGTCAATTGCAACAGAACGTGAGGTTATCTGTCAGACAAGGCAGTGATATGACTGTAGGAACCTACATTTTTTATGAGAGACTGTCAGAAGGAAAGGTTATTTGAAGTTTTTTTTCATTAAATTTCTCTCTTCTGTCTTGAGCTTGACCTCTTCTGGGACTCTGGCAGAAACTTTCAAAACCACTGGTTTCTATATCAATATATAGTTGAAGTCAGAATTATTAGCCCTCCTTAATTATAAGCCCCCTGTACCCCCCCCCCCATTTCTGTTTAACAGAAATAAGTTTTTTTTAACAAATTTCTGAAAATATTAGATTTAATAACTAATTTCTAATAACTGATTTATTTTGCCATGATGATAGTACATTATATTTGACTATATACATTTCAAGATACTAGTAATCAGCGTAAAGTTACATTCAAAGGCTTAACTATGTTAAATAGTAAAGTTAGGGTAAGTAGGCAAGTCATTGTGTAACAAAGTGGTTTGTTCGGCAGACAGGCTAATAATATTGACCTTTAAAAAAATGAAAAACAGCATTTATTCTAGACGAAATAAAACAAATAAGACATTTTCCACAAAGAACTATATTATAGCAAATACTGTGAAAAATTCCTTCCTCTGCCATTTAGGAAATGTTTGAAAAGAAAAGATCAATGTAGGGCTAATCATTTTGACTTTAACTGTATGTGTCCGAAACAAAATCATCTTATTAATGTCAGATAACTTTGATTATTTTTGGGTATACAGTAATATGTCACATTTTACTTTATTTTGCTATCCTCACATGTGTAAAATAACTATAGTGTCTTGTACCTTCTAGTAAAAATTAAAATTATAATAGTAATAGTAGTAGTAGTGATAATAATAATAATAGTAATATTAATAGTAGTTATTGCAGTTGTTTATGTATTAGTAGTTGTACTTGTATAAGTAGTAGTAGTAGTAGTTGTAGTTTTTATTGTAGTATTAGTTGTTGTGGTAGTAGTTGTAGTTGTTTTTGTAGTAGTAGTTGTATAAGTAATAGTAGCAGTAGTTGTAGTGTTTGTTGTAGTATTAGTTGTTGTAGTAGTAGTAGCTGTTGTAGTTTTTGTTGTAGTATTAGTTGTTGTGGTAGTAGTAGTAGTAGTAGTAGTATTTGTTGTTGTAGTTGTAGTGGTAGTAGTAGTTGTTGTGGTAGTGGTAGTAGTTATTGTAGTAGTAGTAGTAGTAGTAGTAGTAGTAGTTGTTGTAGTTTTTGTAGTTGTAGTTGTAGTAGTAGTTGTTGTGGTAGAAGTAGTTGTAGTAGTAGTAGTTGTTGTTGTTGTTGTTGTAGTTTTTGTTGTAGTTGTAGTTGTACTAGTTGTAGTAGTAGTAGTAGTTGTTGTTGTTGTAGGAGTAGTTGTAGTAATACTAATAGTTGTAATCATTGTTGTAGGAGTAGTAATAGTAGTTGTAGTAGTTTTTGTTGTTGTTGTTGTTGTTTTTGTAGGATTAGTTGTAGTAGTCGTAGTTTTTGTAGTTGTTGTAGTAGTAGTGCTCTAGTTTATATACTTTGACGTGTTCACCCAGTTAGTTTGACATGCACACATTCACACCTGCCTGTAACCTGACTGTTTTTTTAAATGTTATTTTCTGTTATTTGTTTTTCTTAGTTTTGCATTTGTATTTCATTACATATCATTTGTGTAGCTTTTTTCAATAAAATGTAATTAAAAAATAATTAAAACAATAAAAAAATATATAAATTAAGGAATTGTAAATTGGGCGGCACAGTGGTGCAGTGGTTAGCGCTGGTGCCTCACAGCAAGAACGTCAAAATAAGGTTAAATAAGCAAAATTGTCCGTAGTGTATGTGTGTGAATGACAGTGTATGGGGGTTTCCCAGTGACGGGTTGCATACGCTGTGTAAAACATTTGCTGGATAAGTTTTTTCCGCTGTGGTGACCACAGATTAATAAAGGAACTAAGCGAAAAGAAAATGAATGAATGAATGAATGAATTTTAAATTTATTAAAAATTCTATCTAGTGTCTTAATATGTTTTTGTGTTTTTTTTTTAAGCTCAACTGTATTCTATGTCAGCCTAATACTGGCAGAATCTGTTTGATGTATCATCAAGTGGCTTCATAAAATTCCTTCAGAAAGACTAGACATGTTTGTTTACACTCTTGTTTCTGAAATCAACAATGTTATGATTAGTCAGGAAGCAGTATGTAATTTTCTGTTTCTTGTTAAATAGACTATACAAAATTTCCTCACAATTTTCTCGCACTCATGTGGTTTTAAACTTTTATGAATTTCTTTCTTATGTTGAACACAAACTAATATTTACTTGAAGAACGTTAGAAAAATGCAGCCATTAACTTTCATAGTATTTTGTTTGTTTCGACTATGGATTGCTGCTTTTCTATAATGGGTGTATTTTTTTTACTTGTAAACGAGTCATGTAAGATTGTACTGTAAGCTTTAATGCTGATGCAGTAATTATATGTTTCCTATTTCTAACAGTGGGTGGCCTGCAACACCTGTTAAAGAATCAAGTTTTATTTCTTAACTGATTTCACATTGAGCCTCACGTCCAAGCAGACATCACTGACACACTGTTCGGCAGGCTAAGAATAGATATGGAGAAGATTCGTGTTCTGAGCTGAGAAATATGCCAACTCACAGTCTATTTATATCAGATCACATGTGATTCCTTGTCTCACACACTTGCTTTTTATAGCCAAATCAGGTTGTTCTAATAAGCTCCTTTAGGATAATTAATGGATGATTCATCTTTAAAGGCTAATCATGTCTGATTGTTTTAGTTTTTAATGAAAGTTTTTGCTGTGCTGGAACTGCTATGAGCTTTCATACTTTTATACAGGACTTCATACTAATGTTTGTTTCTACAAATGTTCATTTTTGGTTCTACATTGGAAAGAAGTAAATGACAAAAGGTCAAGACAACAAATACACTCACCGGCCACTTTATTAGGTACACTTGACTAACTGCTCGGTAACGCAAATTTCTAATCAGCCAATCACATGGCAGCAACTTAATGCATTTAGGCACATGGTCAAGACGATCTGATGCAGTTCAAAGCAAGCATCAGAATGGCAGAAAGATGATTTAAGTGACTTTCAACATGGCATGGTTGTTGGTGCCAGATGTGCTCGTCTGAGTATTTTAGAAACTCCTGATCTACTTTGATTTTTATGCACAATCATTTCTAAGGCTTACAGAAAATGGTCTGAAAAAGAGGAAATATTCAGAGTTTGGCAGTTCTGTTGGCGCAAATGCCTTGTTGATGCCAGAGGTCAGAGGAGAATGGCCAGACTGGTTTAAGATAATAGAAAGGCAACAGTATCTTAAATAACCATTAGTCACAAACGAGGTATGCAGAAGAGCATCTCTGATCGCCCAACACGGCCAATCTTGAGACTGATGGGCTACAGTAGCAGACGACCCCATTGGGTGCCTCTCCTGTCAGCTAAGAACAGGAAACTGAGGCTACAATTCGCCAAGGCTCAGCAAAACTGCACAATAGAAGACTGGAAAAATGTTGCCTGGTCTGATGAGTAGGGCCAGACGGAATCTGCGGACGTTTTTTGCTATTTTTGGTAAAAATCTGCGGATTTCTGCGGAATTATTTTGGGAGTATCCAGCGGAGTATCATAACTTACACTTTAATATATTAAATAAAAAGTAATAAATTACTGATTAAAAACTGAATAAATAATTTACTCAAGTAAATAAACAGAATTTATAATGGGCTAAAAAACTGCAGAAATCTGTGGAATTCTGCGGAAAATCTGCGGAATTCTGCGCGCACAGATTCCGTGTGGGCCTACTGATGAGTCTCGATTTCTGCTGCGACATTGAGATGGTAGAGTCAGAATTTGGCATCAACAACATAAATGCCTGGATCCATCCTGCCTTGTATCAAGGGTTCAGGCTGGTGGTGGTGGTGTAATAGTATGGGAGGTATTTTCTTGGCACACTTTGGGCCCATTAGTACCAGTTGAGCATCATGCAAACACCACAGCCTACTTGAATATTGTTGATAACCTTGCCCATCCCTTTATGACCACAGTGTACTTCCAGCAGGATAACGCAATCATCTCAGACTGTTTTCTTGAACATGTCAATGAGTTCACTGTACTCAAATGACCTCCACAGTCACCAGAACTCAATCCAATAGAGCACCTTTGGGATGTGGTGGAATGGAAGATTTGCATCATGGATGTGCAGCTGATAAATCTGCTGCAACTGCATGATGCTATCATGTCAATATGGACCAAAACCTCTGGGGAATATTTCCAGTACCTTGTTGAATCTATGCCACGAAGGATTAAGGCAGTTCTGAAGGAAAAAGGGGGTCCAACCCGGTACTAGTAAGGTGTACCTAATAAAGTGGCTGGTGAGTGGGCATTTATGATGCTTTAGCTTATTTTAATATGTTAATCAGGTTTCAACTAAATCGTTTAAGTTAGACAAAGTTTAAGTTCACATTTCTAGCCGAGATGACTAGACTAGAAAAGTTTGTTTAATTCAACAAATAAAAAAAGGACAACAATATTTTTTACACTGTACATGTAATATTAATAAAATTACAAGCTTTGTCTGTTAGAAGTGCACATTTGACAGTAGCTTGAGCTGAGAGTAACTGGCGTGTATTAGGATTATTTAATTATCATTAATAAACACATTGCCATTTGTAATAAATAACTTTAACATTGTAGTTCGTCAAGTATAACAACTTCCCTGTCATAAAAAAGTAGCTGAAATGAATGCGTTCTATAACTTTTGTTATGGAAAAGAAGAACCTAAAGACATTTAGTAAAACTGCACAACAAATATGACTTATTAATCGTCTGATTTACTCAAGTTATTTAGCCCATTATTAAATCTATTTATTCACTTATTTATTTGTCTGTGAATTAATATATTTGTTTTTATATTAATTATTATTGATAATATGTGATT